TTTTTTTTTTATGTTTTATTTCTTTTTTTCTTTTTTTTTTTTTTTTTTTTTTGTTTCATAAATTCCTTTAAAAATACAAAATAATATTTCCATTTTGTCTTTTTAAATTTAGAAATACAGATAAAATCCTTTTTTTTTTTTTTTATTTTTTTTTAACAATGTATATAGATATTTATGTTTTTTGAAGTGTTCATTTTTCTATTTTTGTTTTTACAGATTTATAAAATTATACTTTTTTTTTATTTAGAAGATATTTAAAAATTTAAAATTATTTATACTATAATTTTTAATAATTAAAATAAAAAATGAATTTATGGAATTTTATATATGTAATGTTAAATGGGATAATATAAAAATAAAATTTTAGAAAAAATTAAAAAAAAAAAAAATTAAAAATAAAAAAGAAATAAAAAGAGATATAAATTTTTAAATTAAGAATGATAAATAAAATTTGAGAAAATGATACCTGATTTAAAGGAAATTTATGCTAAAGAAATTTTTGGAAATAAAAAGTTAAGAAGATTTTTTTTAAAATATAAATCTAAAGGAAAAGTTTTGTATTCTTTTACATCTAATAAGGTAAAAATTAACAAAATGAAAAAACTGAGTATATGATTAAATAATCATATTTAATATATACTATTAAGTAATATATCACCTAGATATAATAATTTAGATAAGATATAATTTTAAGATAAGTATAAATTAAATTTAGGAAAGTGAATAATTTTAAAGTAAAAAAGTTTTATGGTTATTTAAGTTTAGGAATTTTAAAATAATTTTATATATACAGTGAATTTACATTTCTATTACTATTTAATTATAAAATATTTTTTAATAAGATGGTTTTGTTTCAATTCTTAAAATTATATTTTTATAGGAAACTATAAATGAAGAAAAAAAGAATGATAATTTATATATTTTAAAATATAATGTAGAATAGGAATATAGATAAATTATTTATATTAAATTAGAAAAGCAGTTTAAAACATCCATAAATATATATATATTATTTTCCCCTTTTTTTTTATTACAGAGCATATATTTTAAAGTATTAAAAAATAAATTTTATAAGATTTCTACTTTTCTTTATTTATTTTTTGTTATTTTTAGTAAAGATATTTTATATATACTTTTAAATAAGGTTATAAAACCAAAAAAAAAAAAAAAAAAAAAAAAAGTTATATTTTGGTTTATTTTATTTCATTATATAGTTATTTTTATCTTAATTTCTTAAATTAAATGTATATATGTACTATACTTACGAATTTTTTTTAATAGAAATATGATGGAATTTCAGATTTTTTTATTATAATACTAATTTTTTTTTGTTTTACCGATATAATAGTTAATTTATTAACGGACACAAATTATTTATTTTATTTTATGTTTTTTGATATCCTATCATTAACTTTATTGTTTTTTGATATCTCTATTTATGAAAAATATTTGTTTGATTTCTTTTGCTTTTCTATTAAAAGGTAAAGAATAACAAAAATAAATTTTATTATATTTATTTTTTTAAAATGTTTCCATCCCTATCGTAAAAATTCTTTTGTGTTTAGTTTTTAATCTTTTATAATTCTAGAAATTATGTGAAAATTTTAATAAATCTTGAATCTTTATCTATTTGTTCTAATTAGCTTATATGGGATAAAAGAAATTGATAAAGAAGAAATATTTTATTTAGTGCACTTATTTAAAGTTTTACGTGTTGTAAAAATATATCGATTAATAATTCATTTTATTAAAAAACTTACAAAAGACATATATAAACATAGAAATAAGTGGAATGTTATAAGCATTTTTAATAATCACGAAAAAAAAAAAAAATAAATGATTCTTTGTTTTGTGACTTTTTTTTTTTTTTTTTTAGTTTGAAAAAGTAGAAAGTATGCAAAATATAACAAATTTAAAGGTATATATATATAAAAAAATTCAGTCTTTTATAGAATTAAAAATAAATAAAAATATTTATAGAATATAATTAAATTTATTTTATTTTTTATTTATGTTAGGGAAGTTTAAAATTTACAAATAAAATGCATTTAGCATTAATAAAAAGATATTTTATGTCTTTATTATTTATTATGCTATCTTATATATTCATAGAAATAGTAAAGTCTTTTTTTTTTTTTTTTTTTTTTTTTTTTTTTTTTATAAATATTTATATTTATATTTATATAATTTTAATTTTAATTTTGTAACAGATTTCAATCTCAAAGGAAAAAAAAAATTCAATGAGCTATTTTATTTATAACTTAGATCTGTTAAAGAAAATAAATTAACAGACTAAATATATATATATATATATATATATATATATATATATATTTA